CGAGCGTTACCGTGTCGTGTCGTGTCGTGCCGTGCCCGACCGGCACGCTCCGCGCCCCTTCCCACGCGTTCGAACATGTCCCGAGTTACACTGTGGCGCGAAGTCAGGTTAGTTACCATGCTTTAAATTGATTGTTTTATGGTATATGAGCTTGTTGCGTGTGTTTGTGATTATTTTAATTTTTAATTAAGTTCTGAAGGTGAAGTGGCTGCTGTCGGGTTCGGAGTGCTTATCCTGACCTATTTTAACTTGACATCAATGAAAAGAAAGTCACTTTACTTACAGCTTTACTTTTAATTGATGTAATAATTTACGTGAAATATTATATTAGTTTTAATTAAGTTTTAAGTGACAAATATACCTTTGCTTAACTTAACGTAATATAACCGCAATAAAAAAATAATCCTTTGTCTTAAATTTACTAGCGCAAAATGTGTGGAATAAAAAAGGATGTATAAGATGTTAGTGAGTGGTTAGTAAGATAATTTTGAGCTCAAATAAAATCAAAATAAAACCTTTTATTATTAACTAAAAAATTTATTACACCCGCAAAGTAATAATTTAATTTGAATTTCACTACATGTAAAAATAGGCACGCAAGATACTTTCTGAATTAGAACTCCTAAAAATTCTGAAAGCCTAACACTATAAAGATTTTGTTAACTACTGAATTATCTGAAAGTGACGGAAAAGGGACAAGGACTACAGGTAGTTAAATAATAATGTTTACGTGAAATAAAATTTTCCAACTATTTGCGTATTTTAGGATTAACCAACGGATATTGTGTCTTATATGTCTGTTACATCGAGCAAATAAAAGATAATAACTTCCTATTTAATCTACGTCTATAAAACTAATTATTATAAAGGGGTAAGATTCACATTTTTGAATATAAGGATTAAACATAAAAACTAAGATACAAAAAATTATTTTGCATGTAGCAAACTGAATTACAACTGTGTAATGGAATATATAAAAACATAGAATATATTGATTTCTTGAAAATTATTTTATATTCCGCGCGAACGAAATCGCAGGCAAATGCTAGTGTCAAATTTTTAGCTAAAAATAATATGTTGCTAAAATATCTAGAGACGGAGACGTTAAGGTTTGAATAATAAAGACAAGAATAAAGTAATATCGGTGACATTCCTTTATCCATTTCTATTACATGATAGTGCTTTCTACTGATAAGCTTATTCGAGAAAATATATTTTACTATTAGACGTAACAATT